TAATTTTATTAAAATCAATCTCTTTCCATCTAGCTTTGAATCATTGCGGCGAATTTATGAAATACCCCAAAATTTGAACAATTCGACTACTAAATTTTTACACGTATCTAGCTATGGTATTCATATGTGTAAAGCTGGTCTCACTACTCATCTTACTTGTGGGTATATGAGGGGGTCGAATGGGGTTGCTATATACGAGGGTAAGGTTAAAAGGTCCTTAATCATTACAACCATGCATTCAGATGGTGGTGATAGCGGAGGAAGCTTATTTTCTTTTGCACAAGATTTGCGTTCAGTAGAATTAATTGGTATACACATAGGACGTAATCGTAATCTAAGTTATGCTTTACCAGTAGAAATTATTTTAAAATCATTTGATTTGGCTCTTGTGACTTCCAAATGGCAGTCCTCGGGTTCGGGTTCGGGTTCAGGTTGATGATTAACGTCATTGCCTCAGTACGCCGCATAGTCAGATTTTCGTCACTTGGATCCGAACCTTCATTTCAGTAAAAGCAAAGTCCGTCATTACATCACGGTATGAAATTAAGCTAAAATTCGGTCACTAAATCTGAGTATTTGATCCCCCAATTTTAAATTTTAGTTACCTGATTACATATTAATAAATCAATACTAAACCCCGAAAATTTTTTTTGGACCTCGGATCTTGATTGATAACGCGTCCAACCATCTTCTCCACATTTGATGTATCTTATAGGACATAGAAATATATTATAATGACGCACCCTCACTAGTTATTTCAGTTAAACTTTATTATTTTATTAGTAGTCGAATTGTTCAAATTTTGGGGTATTTCATAAATTCGCCGCAATGATTCAAATCTAGATGGAAAGAGATTTATTTTAATAAAATTACAAATATAAATAATAACTTTGAAAAGAATCAAAAAGATTTGATAATACCAAAATATGTAATTCTAAGGTTTTTAGAAAAGTTTTTAATTTTATGTAAAGTCTCGTGAAGAATAATATATTGGAAGTTACTTAATTATTAAGATAAATTCTCCGATTAACAGTATGGTAAATTATTTATTTATTGTCGCAGTTGATGCTGAAATTTGGAGTCTCGATTTGAAAATATAAACCCTGCTAAAATTCACATATACTCTTTAATTATCAATTC